GCCTGGCCCTGAGGGGCAGGAAGGCGGAGCGGGCGGGGCGTTGCTGCCCCGCTGGCCTCGGCGCCCCGCCCCCTCCCGTCCCACTGGCCTTAGCGGGCCCTCCACGAGGGGGACCTGCCAGGCCACGGCCCAGCCTTCCGTCCCCTCCCTCCCAAGGGTCGGCTGCTTGCAGCTGGAAAGCCCGCTGGCCTCCCTCCCGGGTCACTTCCCAGCAAATGAAGGTCCCTGCACTGCCTGGAGGCCCTCGAGAACCCATCTGGCTCAAATCCATCAATGTGTAGGTTCAGTGATGCCGCCAGCCTGCATCAGTTCTCCATCTTTACCCTGAACTGCATTAGCCTCCTGAAGCCCGCTCACCCGGATGGAGGGCCACCTGCTGGAGCTCTTCACCGTCCCCTTTTGATTTTGCCAGCTTGAATTAAGGTGTCCTGGTCTGCAGAACGTAGTTAAGATAAGGGCTGGATTTCTGCAATATTCTGCACCACAAATCATCCAATCCCACCTTAGACAAATACGTTGTGCCAACCCAAGCAGTGTGTATGTGAGTGTTCAGTGTTCCTCTTACGATCATGCAAGCAAACTTTTTCTCCTCATATTGTATCGGAGGCTGAGAACAAACTGCCTCTCCGGAGCCTTATAGAAAGTGTAGGCATAACTAGAATAGGTGAAGCACGGGATGAAGCAGGTAAATGGATATTGAACCTCAGTAGGGGAAGATTTGGGGCGAAGTTTGTTTGCACTCCCCCTAAAGAACTAACGCCACCTGATGACACAGTCCTGATGTGTTGAGTTACAGTGTTCATTGTCTAACACATCCAGAAGGTGCCAAGTTGGAAAAGTCTGCCCTAAAAAATCCAGTTTGCAGCTGGGAATCCTTTTTCATTACTCTCTTCATCAGAAGCTCAAGCGTGGGGGGGGGGGGGGGGGGCGGTGAACAAAAAACTGTTTGGTTCATCTTTTAATGCAAGCCTTTTTAAATTACACTTTCTGAACCAAACACAAACCAAAATATGTTCTGTTAGAAATATGCCATTTCTCCCATTTTGGTGCAGTTCCCAGTTCCAAAACTGGTGAAGGAAAGTGTGCGCCAAATGCACTACTGTGTATTAGCTAAAACCATACACAGGAAGGAATTACTTGAGGGTGTATGAGAATATTCTGAAAAGGGCCACAAAAAACATAGATGAGGAGAAACACATATTTTGTGGTGGTGCGTGACAAGAAACAGTCCCTAACAAACGTGGTTGGAGGGACAAGTAATGGAGCAAACTGGGAATCCTTGGGAGGATCAGGAGGACCTCCAGCCGCTTCACGTGCCCCAGGACAGAGGTCCCCCTCACTCCCCCACTGGCCGCAGCCGGGGTCCCCAAGCTGATGGCCCAAGTGCATGGCCTCTCTCCGGGAAGAGCCTGGGAGCCCTCTGCCCGGTGCCCTTCCTGGCTGTCTGCCCTCGGGGAGCAGATCTAGTGGCCCCTGGCTTGAGCACTTGTGTCCTGTGGGGCCTCTTCCAGCGCCTCCTCTCCGGAAAGGCCCCGTCCCGGAGCTCTCCCAGCCCTCCTTCCTCCTGCAGGTGGCCAACGATGAGATGTGCGAGGTGTGCGAGGTGTGGACAGCCGAGAGCCTCCTCCCCTGCCGGGTGTGCACCAGGGTCTACCACGACGGCTGCCTGCGGCGCATGGGTCTGCTCTCCAAGGACGGGGCCGCCGAGGCCATTGAGGCAGCCCACTCCACGGTTGGCTGGAGCTGCTACCACTGCGTAAGCCACGGGGTTGGGGGGGAGGGCAAGCAGCGCCACGATGGGCCAGGCCGGGCCGGGCCGGGCTGGGCAAGGCCTTCTGGAAATCGTGGCTGCGCTCGGTGGTTCTGCACTGGAGAGGCCCCTTTGGAGGGGCCCCCGAGAAGGATTTGGGAGAGCAGCACAGGCGTGGGGAATGGCGGTGAGGAATAAACACCTGCGAAGGGGGATCCTGGGGACGAGATGCGTTGAGCCGCGGGAAGATGGGGGGTGGCGGAGCAGTCCTCTGCTCCCTCTCGGGACAGAAAACGGGCTGAAGTTGCAGGTTAGGAAAAACTTCCAAAGGGTAAGAGGGGGCGGGGGGAGCTTTCCCTTCAGAGGACGTATTCAAGCAGGGCTGGAGCAGGGGGTTGGGCTGGATGGCCTCACGGGCCCCCTCAAGTTGGGTTGTGTGGCTGCGAGGGCGCCCCTGTGGCCGACTGTGCAGCTAGAGCAGGCCGATCCTCCCTAGAAGGAGGGAGCCTGTCCAAGCCAAGGGAAGCCCCTGCCTTCAGAGCTTTTGACGCCCCCGGGGGGGGTGTCTCCTGGTGAAGAGGCCGGTAGGCTCCAGAGATGGTGCTGGGCTTTCTTCTCATCCAGCAGCCCCCCACACACCTCCGTGTCCTTGGACGATGCCATTGCAGTTTCCAGAGCAAAGCTGGCGCGGGGGGAAAACAACGTGTGGAGTCTTGCTCTGGGAATGGTTGCAACAGAAACGGGGGAGGCTGTTCTCTGGCCCATCCAAAAAGCACCAGCTGGTGAGAGCTGGCTTGCAGAATCACACAGTTGCTCCCTGTCAAGCCGCGGGGAGTGCTCACTGGGTGCCTGCGTCCTGCTGCGGAGACTCCTGGTGGGAACAGGGTCCTAAACAGGACCTGGCCTTCTTGTAGCCCCCGCCAATTCCTCCTTCCTTCTTCCCGCCCAGGATAACCTCAACTCGCTGCTCACCGAGGAGGAGATGGGCTCCCTGTCCCAAGCTTTCCGCCAGGGCAACATCACGCCTGGTAAGGCCAGCCAGGGGTGCTCCCCGGCCCATTTGGGCAGAGCCGGGGTGCTGGCAGAGGGGCACTGTGGCAGCTGGCAGTTCCGCTTCACAGGGCAGAGCCCGCCGCCCCCTGGGCGGAGGCAGAAAACAGCTTTCGAGAAGTAGCTGAGGCCAGGGAGGGACTGTTCCGAAAAGCCTGTCTCCAGGCGTGGGTAGCCCGGAGACGGGGGGGGGCAGGTTGGGAGGGGCTCCATCTCTCACGGCAGGTCTTGGCAGGACAGAGCAGTGGGGGGGTCCTGCAGGGGCAAAGCTTTTTGCCTTGGGGGAGGCCAGACAGGGAAGCGCCTCCTCTGACCATGACTGGGGGGTCTCCGCAGAGAGCAGCCTAACCCTGGAAGACTTCCTGCGCTACAAGGGCCTGGCTGAGCAGCCCAGCAGCAAGGAGGAGGACGCCCACCACGCCCTGCAGTTTGCCGCCCTGGACCCCCAGCAGAAAGGCCTCGTCGACTGGGGAGATTTCCTCTCCCACGAGTCCCTCCTGCTCTTGCAGAGAACCCGCACGCAGGTGGGAGCCTCTCCCGAAGGGGCTCCAGAGCAGGAGCCCCCCCATATCTGAGCAGCCCCGCTACCTGGCAGGGGGAAAGAGGGACTGAGCTGGGGCCCCTGCGCCTTCAGAGCGCGCGCCCCATCCCCTCCTGGGAGAGGTGGGAGAGGAGGTCCGGTCCTTCCCCCTGCCTTCCCTCCTAGACAAGGCGTCACCGCGCCTGCAAAGGCCAGGAAGCTGAGGGGGCTGCGCCCTCTGCGCGCGCTTTGAGGTACACCTCCTGCTTGCCTTCCCTCCCCAGGACGGGCTGCTGCACCTGCTGACGGGCAAGGAGAGGGAGCGAGTGCGGGAGGCCTTCCTGGCGCTGGACCGGCACGGGGATGGGCTCATCAGCCAGGTCGAGAGCCGGCGCTCCCAGCACGCTTGGTTCCGGAAACGGCAGCAGGAGGCGCCCTCCCTTTGGGCCAGGTTAAGGCCTGCCTTGGCAGGCGAGGGGCGGCACACCTGGCCCCTGCAGCTGGCTGGCAGTCACCCGAAGGAAAGGAGCCCTGGCCTGTGTGGCCATCTCCCTGCAGGCGAGTTGCACCTTGGTTCCCACAGTTCCTGATCCGCTTGACCAGTGGGCTGGCTGGGATGGGATCGCAACCAGAGAGGTGTGGCGGGCAGCAGGTTGGGGAAGGCAGCTGGAGACACAGCCAGGCCAAGCAATGCAAGGCACCTTTTGTGCTTCAACTTCCCCAACCAGTTGGGACATATTTAAGGCAGGATTGAGGCATGGGTTTCTTTGTGGGGGAGGTCATCCTTGCGCCCCCCAGCTGAGCAGCAGCAATGGCTCCCTTGGAAGAGGCCTTCATACTCTCACCAGGATGCTGGGGCGACTTGTGGCCAGTCGGCTGATCCAGCAGGCCTCCCTCCAGACCAAGGGCACCCTAATCCTGGCATTGTGTCTGCGTGTGGCTCTCTTTCAGCATCAGCCAGGCGAACCCCACCTCAGAAAACAGCAGCGACAGCCAAAGGCAGGAGGGCGAACAGCTGCTCAGACAACAGCAGGGTGAACCAAGGTAAGCAGAGAGACTCCCCCCCCAAAGATGCCCTGGTAGATCCAGCGAGGGGCCCAGGCAATGCCAAACGCCAGGGCTCATGACTGGTTGTGACCGAAGAGCCTGTGGAGGTCCAGCACCCATTCCTGTGCTGCAGCACCTATTTTGCTTCACCCCGCAGGCAGCCGCTGTAAAAGCTTCTCCTGCGTTCAAAGCAAATCCAAGCTGCTTTATAATAATAAATAAATAAATAACAATGAATAATCTCTGCCTGGAGAATCTAGAATACTGACCCAGATGCTTGTCCAGAGCCCCAGACAGGCCCCATTGGCTGAGATGTAAGAAGTAAGCAATGCAGAAATACAGAGTTTCCCCTCGATGGGTTACTTTTCCATCTGACTGCACTCCTGATACTTCCTTAGTCTCCCCACCTGGACTAAGAGCTTTTAGCTGTTGTGCCAGGAACGTCTCCCTTCCTCAGCCCTAGGAGAAAAACGAGTGTTCTGCCCCAAACCAAGAAATGCAGGACTCAGGAAGCCTTGCATTAAGGATAGCTGGGCAGTCTTGCAGGTGAGGACGACTTTAATGAGCTGTTTCCTTATCAGGCTAATGAAGTCAGATCTCTGCGTATCTATGGGTTTGTAGTTTAGCAGTATTTCTAGCCTGCCCCAATCCTGAAGGACTCCGAGCAGTGATTCACAAAGATAAAAGTTTGGACAAGACATCATTGGGAACAGAGTCATATAGGAAAAACAGGGAAGACAACCGTTACACACACAGAAATCCAAATAAAATTAACACAAATAGCCAAGTTACTTAACCCTGACTTAGCTACTCTAACCGTGTATGAATAAGATACGGGCTTCAGTACAAGTTCACAACACCTTGCAGAGAAAGTAGCTGCAGGAAGACTGTCTGGATCTGCAGCTTCAATGTTGGTAGGCAGGGCCTGCCTTGCTACTGCTGCTGCTGCTCCTTTCTCTTCCTTCTTCCATTTTACAGAGCGAGGAGGGTAATTGAAAGGTGCCCTCTTTGGGGAGACTGACCATTGCTTTGCCCAGTCAGGTGAAAAGATGCCCTGGGTCTAGCCAGCAATTCAAAATTTATTCTGCGGCCAAACCCACTTCCCTAATGACTTTGGTGGAATGAGAAAGACCCGGTCTAGTTCTTGCCAATTGTGCCATTTTATAAATGGGGTTCTAGGAGAGGTTTTTAGGGAAACAAACCTGAATTCCATTTATTGGGGTCTCTTATCAGGGAGTCAACTTACACAGTGCTTCAGGAGGTGCTGTTGTTCCATCCTGAAAATTAGGGAGTTGTCATAGCTCTCCACCTTTAGCCACGCCTGGACACATCGGATGCCTCTCTTCCTGCAGCCACGTCTGACTGGGGGTCTGCTGGCAAGATGTGCCAGCGCTTGCAATCAGCTTGGCCTCATTAGGAATTGAGATGAGACGCCAGAGTTGCCATGGGAACAGTTGGCAGCAAAGCAGGCTGTGAATCTTCAGGGGTGTGGGTGGGATGGTACCTGGTTCAGCCGGGCAGCAATGGTCACGAAGGAGGAACGCAGCTGCTCTGGAGCAGAGAAGGGGGTCCTGCTGGAGCTGGCAAGCTGTGGTCAGGGAGGGATCCCGAGAAGGCAAGACTGCCCCACCGTACCCTTCCCTCAGCCGCCTGCCTGCCACTTCCATCACAGGCGCTCTCCCCCGCCTGGCAGCTAACCCACTCTGGCCTGGGGAAGGTCCACAGGAAACTTGGGGAGGAGTGCCCTGCCTCCAGTTCCTCCAGACGCTTAAGCCCATGCCATCCTTGAAGATGCAGGGCCCTTTCATGTGGCCTGATTGTCACTTTCCCCAAGCCTTAGAAAAGAGTGCAAGGTACAAAATCCAGGATCTGTTGTTGGTTTCCAGCAAAGCGTTAGGTAACTGAAAAGCATCTTTCTTCATATCAGTGGTGATTAAAAGTGTAGGAAATAGCATGTGGCTGGAATACTAACGGAACTGCAAAGCATCTTGAAGAATCTTTTAATTAAGGGGTGCTTTACTCACTGAGTCTCTGTTCTTTAGTTTATTAAAAAGGGTATCTAATAAATTACTTTCTTCTATACAAATGTCTTTTTGAACAGGAATATTGAATATACTATATATGTTTATGTACTGCTCCTGGTAGATGTATCTACGCATCATCCTATTGCCTTTCTGTGCCTATTCCCTATTATGCAGAGTGCAGAAAGGAGAATGAAATAAGCCAAAAGGCACAAATAAGAAGAAAACTAGTTTGCACCAACCCCACTCCCTGTTCCCCTCCATCCCCTTCTTTGCAAACCCTCCTTGTTCCCACCACGTCCACCCACCGCTTCATCCCCTGCCTTCGGTTGTTTCAGCTTCTTGCCTCTCGTTTTCAGGCCTCACCAACCCCATCCGGCCATTTCCCTCAGCCTTCCCCTTCCTCCTGACCCATTCGCTCTTCCCTCGCACATTCGGCTTGCAGTCCATTCCTCCCCGGTCATTCTCTCGATTCGATCGAGCCACGTCCGTCTGCCTCTTTCATTCCGGGTCCCTCGCTTCCCTCTTCGATCCGCCTTCATGCACCACCCACCCATTCTTGATCCTCTTGATTCTCGTCTTCAGTGCCCCGTCCTCCCTGCCTTCAGCTGACTTCCGTGCCCTCTTCTTCTCCTTGGAATAGTCTAGTCCCGCTCCTGCTGAGTTCTAGGAGAGCGGTAAGCGCTTCGCGACATAAGAGACTCGGGAGGGAAGGTGGGGTGAGTTGAGAGCCCCCGTCTTGGTCTGTGTGCTTTGGTGGCCATAGTGGTCTTTGTAATCTCCTTTCTTTTGGATGGCTGTTCTTTGGTCATGTCATTTTGCTTTTTAAAGCTTTTTACTGAAAGAAAGGAAGGAAGGGAAGCAGCTTCAGATTCCCCTGAACTGGACTGGTGTATCAGACCCACCAAGCAAGCAAGCAAACAAAATCCAGCTCTCACTTTCCACATAACGAAGTGGGCAGAAGCAGACTCTTACACCAACCATTTTTGCTTCATTTGACCGTCACACCTTACAGCAGGCCACACATTGCCCACTACCTTTCTACCAGCCTCTACGCCTATTAATATGTCTCCATGTGCTTCTCCATCTTTAATATTCTACCAAGATACACAAATTCATCATCTTGCTCTACTTCCTCACCGTTTGTGTATAATTTACAGTTGTTCACCCCACTTTCATTATCAAACACAACTACATTGTTCTTTGGTAAATTAACTTTCAGCTCCTTACACCTCGTGGCCTCATACAGACTGGGCAACTTTCACTGAACATGATTCATGTTCTCAGCCAGCCAAATGGCATCATCTATGTACCAGAGTACATTTCTCCCACCAATGCGCCTCTGCTGTTACCACAAGTGTTCCTCACTCATTTATCCATAAATACATTAAGCCATCAAGCAGACATCACCCGTCTTTTTCTTCCTCTGCTCTACGTCGAACCATTTGCTAAGTATTCTATTTATTCTCTTGCAGCCTCTGTTCACTCCTCTAATTGCATTCAGCAACTAACTTTCCACTCCATTTTTGTGCCAACCACTCTATTGATTTTATCATATGCTTTCTCTAAATCAACAAATGTTCAGCCAACTTTCTTTTCACGTTCCTGTATTTCTCAATGAACTTCTGAAAAACAAAACTCTGTTCCATGGAAACAGCCCACCCCCACCCCCACTTGACGTACAGCCACGCTGCAATTTCCACGTTTTGCTCCTTGTCTCTTGTGGCACTCGTACCGTCAGAGACCTCGCAAATGCCTTCCCAGGTACACTGAAGGTTTTGGCACTCATTCTTACTTCGTTTCCTTTTGCAGAGGGAAAAAGGAGCAGCGTTTTTCCATTCATACACACATTACACATGTTGCACAGAACTCCATTAGCAAACCATATCTTTATTTCAGTATTTTGTCCACTACACCCCATACACGTGCAGCCTTACAATTTTTCAACATTCTCCAGCATTTATGATGTTTTTCTTGGACACTGTCATTTACAACATACGGCTCTCATTTTCCCATAAAATCTGTAAGATACACCTTCTGGCAATCCCCTACATCAGTTTAATCTAGAATCATTTTAATGCTGTTATTTTAATTCCACTTACTCTGCTGGAGACTGTTGATTCTCTTCACCTATTTTCCTCCCAAATTTTTATTTCTGTGAAAATCACTCTGCATCGTCACTGCCTCTTTTAATGTTAACCGTATCTTCCCCTCTTTGCCTGCATCACTGCAACTCTTTTTCTTTCTAGATGCATTATACAATATCTTTCTCTCCCACGTTCAGAACTTCTCATACCCCTTCACTAATTCTCTAAAATAATGAAATCAATCTTGCTTTTAGATTTATATTCATTTATTTACCATCTATACCTATAAATGGACATGCTCACATCTTATATTTGAAGCCAACTTTTTCTGAGAAGATACTCCCCAGACTTCAGATATTCTTGAGTCATACAAATGACTCAGCCGTTTTTCTTCTTTTCATGTTTTATTCCCATCCAATCCTTTGTGTCACCTAGCAGAGTAAAATTTCCTCCTGGCTCACATAGTCATTCAGAATGTCTCACAATTTCCCCCCAGATTCATCCTGGTTCTTCGCCATTCACAAGAGCACTCCTACTTTACAACACACCCAAAACAGCTAAGATGACACCAGTTCCTACTTTCTGGCGCATGTCTCAGCCTCTCCACTTTCCTGTCTGCATTCATCAGCTCACCCCCACAAGATCAGACCATCTTCGTTCAGACCCGTTGCATCCTTTCCTTTTCTCTCAGTTTCACAGACAGACTACGGTTCTATTTTTCTTTCATTTCATTTGTTAATTCATGCTCTTTGTTTTGCTCTTCATTTGTCATGCTCTTCATTTGTTAATTCATGTTGGGTGCTGACACAGGTCAGGATGTTGATTTCTCCTTAAATTACAGATATTCTTATAAGGGCACATTTTCCAACTAGATAGATAGATGATAGATAGATAGATAGATAGATAGATAGATAGATAGATAGATAGATAGATAGATAGATAGATAGATTAGACAGACAGACAGACAGACAGACAGACAGACAGACAGACGCTTCTTTTTTATAAAAAATCTACATGCTAGGATACATGCCTGGAGAGCTCGTGGTCCCCGGACCCGGCCATGCACTCATCTCCTCAGGCGATTGGGGCGTAATTCTAACAGGCAGGAGACACTCCTGGACAGTCTGGCACTGGACCGGACAATCTTCCTCCTGCTTGGGAAGGGCCTGGAGCCAGTCCCACCTCGCTACTGCTCGTCTCCCGTCTCGCCCGCAGCAGAACCGTCACCTGGCCAGCCTTTCTGAGGGAAAGCACGGTCTACATCCTTGCTGCCCGGCCCAACAGCGCCGCCATCCATCTCAAGCCACGGATGTAAGGCTCTTTGGCCAGGGGGCAGAAGAAGGCGAAACACCGTGCCTCGCCTCGTTCGGTGGGACAAAGGAAGGAGCTGCCCTGCCATCGTGATGTATACTGGCTACCCCAAAGTGCCGGAGACCCACTGGGAGCTGTATCCCGCGCCAGGGCATTCGGAGGAGTGCAGATGCAGTGCTCCCTTTGCCCACCGGGCTCTGGCATCCTCCAGTCTCTCTCTCCCTCCATGATCCAGGCAGGTTCCCCTGAGCGGGCGACTGGAAGGCGGGCTGAAAGGGAGCGTTACCCTTTTTCATCAGTGACTTCAGCATCCTTTCCGGTGAGCCAAATGGCAAAGCGGCGTCCAGGTTTCTTCCCTTTCCCGTTTGGTTCTGCTCTTCGTTTGGATTTCTTCTGATCTGCTCAGAGGAGTCTGAGTTCAAATATTCCAACAGCATTCTAGCTTCCGCTTAGAGAAAACAAAATTCAGGCATCCGTCAGCCCTCTCCTCTTCACAGCAAGGCCCAGCCCGGGCGTTACGATAGCCGCCTTATTTCTGACTGACCGAGATGGAGGGAGCTCAGCAGCTTTCTGGTCTTGAATGGCCAAGAGAGAGACACATGGCGGCCCACTTCTGTTTCTGGCTGGCCAAAGAGACCAGGCCTGTTGCATTTGGGACTGTTTTGGGCTGCAGTGGAAGCCATCGCCTTCGTTCTACGGATTCTGGTGGGCTGACCGAGGGCCAGGTTCATGCAGGCGGCCTCTTCCCTCCACGCACGGGCTCGTTATTGGTCTTCGCAAATAGAAGCTACCAGGGAGACGGGCTGAAGACTTCCTTTGCCACGGTCATCATAAGGAAAGCGGGACACGGTGGTTTCCAGGTTTTGAGACCTATTTGCTGGCACAGTCGTGCCCCCAAAGAGAAGCCACCTTTGCAACCATGGAAGGTGCCAAGCCTGTCCCCTGGGATGATCTGCCAGGACCACCTCCACAGGTTGCATTTCCCTTCTCTCCTTCCCTCAGCTGTCCAGAGGAGCTGAGCCCAGCAGGAGGAGGCCGGAGGGCTCCGCTTTCTCCTGCTGCTCAGTAGGAACCGCTTTTCGGAGACCGCTTGTCCCAGAACTGAGTGCAAAAGCTACTCTCCTGCTGCCCAAGAAGATGTCTCCCTCCAGGGAAGCAGAGTTGCCAGCCCACAAAGCCCCCCTGCCCTTGCCTGTCTGCACCCGGGAATCGGAGGCATCCTGACTCTGGAACAAGCCCGTTACTTACCGTTAGTCACCCTGTCCTCTCCTCCGGCCTCCTGGAGGATCTGAAGAGCGTCCGGAAAAATCTTTGACTGTTTTGAGGGGGGGGGAGAGATGTATCAACCTTCTTCATCTGCATGCAAACAAGGGGGGGGGGGTTGGAGCCCCGAGGGTTCCTGAGGTCCTAGAGCTGGGGGCAGGGCGGGCCATGGCGTTGGTGATCAGGTTCCCTGTATCCAGGCTCAGCTTGGGTGATCCAAAGGCCCGTACAGCTAGTCCTACAGGTCCTTTGGAGGCTGCCTGAACATCAAAGCCCTAGGATGGTCACCTGGTGAATACCTGCCTGGGGTCCTGGCTCACCTGGTGGGAAGAAGCCCAACTTAGTCCATTTTCACTTTGTGGGAGAATGGGAACCCCTGCCTCTCCCCACAGAATTCCTGCTTGGTTGGACTTGAAGGGAAGAAAACCTTCAGGTCCGATCGATATCCTAGGGATAGACCAGCGTAAAAGAAAACCTTGGCTCACCGAGAAGCAGCCAGTTCCCTGGGGTGAAGGGGTGCAAGGGGGGCGGGGGGCAGCCTTTCTAGCCAAATTGGGTGTGGCGTGGAAGATCCAAGACAATGCAGGGAGGTTTGGCTGCCTCCCCTTAACCCCAGTGGAAAACGGAGAGATGGTTTTCCATTCCCGCTGCTCCGAAGCAGGGGTGACCACAGGGCATGGTCACCGAAGTCAAGGAGGCAGCCACGACAGTGTGACTGGAGCTCCGCCCACGTGAAAAATGGGCAGAACTTTGATCACACCATCGCGGCCTCTCCTGAGCCTCTCCTGAGTCTCTGCGGCTGAAAGCTCGGGACGAGGGGCTGATCCCCTGGAGGGGTCGGCCTTGCTGCCCTCATGCCACCTGACTGCCTCCTCGTTCAGAGAGCCCTGTTGCGGGACAAGGCCCAAAGCCGCCTGTTTCCCAGGGCAGCCGACCCAGTGCCAAGGAGAGGCAGAGGGTGGCCACAGCACCAGGGCATCCGCAGCTGGAACTGGAACTGGGAGGGCAGCTGGCCCCATCTCTCTCCATGGGAGCTTCCTAGCTTTCCTAGAACCTGGCATGATGAGAGAGGGAGAAAAGCGCCCCCATGCCCAGCTTCCTTCTGTGGGCCACTGGAAAGCCGGTGGGCTTGAGCAAGAATCCCGCGGAAGCTCTTCCTACCCAAGTGAAGCTCCCTGCTTGGTGTGCCTGGAAGGGCCCCAGCGAGCCCCGAACTAGACGGCCGTGGAGGGAGAGAGCCTCTAGGCCAGGGCTTGATGCCAGTCCCCCCAGAGGTATCAGAAACAGGGAGTCAAGCTGGCCTGCTGAATCCGAGGTGTAAAGGACCAGCTGACGTTGGTGTGCAAGGTACGGCTTTCAAGGGGCACCCCGAAAGCATCCTTCCGGACTGGGGAGTTACCTTTTTCACAGGGCTCTGCAGAGATACATAAATCCGTGAACAGGACGCCAAGAACTCTGCAGCCATTCCTCTTCCTTTCAACAGCTCCTATTAATTCTGTAGTAAGAGAACTCAAACTCTGTGATATGAATAAATTATGTACATTAATTTGTCCTCTCTCTTTTTTAGATTCTTTATCCTGCCTTTTTTACTTTATAAGTAACTCAAGGCGGCGAACATACCTAATACTCCTTCCTCCTCCTCCTCCTCCTCCTCCTCCTCCTCTTTTCCCCACCACAACAATCCTGTGAGGTGGGCTGGGCTGAGAGAGGGGGACTGGCCCAAAGTCCCCCAGCCGGCTTTCATGCCTCAAGAAGGACTAGAACTCACCACCTCCTACTTTCTAGCCCGGTGCTTTCACCACAAGACCCAGCTGGCTCTCTTCTTGCAATATTATTTTGGGAATTGCATAATTAAGGACGGGGTTATTTTTTCATGTTTTATTCTTATCATGCTCTCCATTGAGTGTGGGAAAAATTATACACAAGAAATCCTGCCCTTCTCTTTGCTTGACTTCTGGGATTTCACAAAGCACGGCCTAATGCATTTTTAATCTTATCTCCAGGGTCCAAAAAAAATGACTCCTGCTTGGAAGGAATGGGGATATCTTACACCATCAGATCCTTCATTGCACAATTAGCCAGAATAACGTCTGGCTAGCATTCATACTTTCCTAGAAAAATCCCCAGCAAGGGAGATGAAGATGACAGGCTCTTCCTAATTTGCAGAGTGGCGTTTGCTGCTTTTTTTAAAAAAAAAGAATCTAAAGTCCTCTGCGCACCGCAGTGTCTTCCCCAGCACTGCCTGACCTGACCGGGTGCCAAAGAGTTTGGGTCGCTGATAGAGGCATTCCAGGATACGCCAGGAAGTAGCGGGTCTGCTTTTTAAAACTTAATAAACACAGAAAAGAAACCTTGGCCAATTCAGGCATTGTAGAAAAGAAGGTGACTTCCATTCAGTCGTGGGTCCATTCGGGCCTTTTTCCTATCAGTTTTTAATTATAAAAATCAGTGTAAAAATTTCCTAGGCCTTCAAAAGTAGCCAGTGCAATGGAGACCTTTGCTGAACTGTTCGTTCCTACTCAGTGTTGTGGCATAAAGCTTAGGGTCTCAGAGGATTCTCGAGATGTTGGGTTTTCCACCCAAAGATGTTGGGTTCACTGGGAGACTAGATGAGACTAACGTGGCATTGGGTGGGTTAACCATTTCTCCTGCTTCGCCACTGCCCTCTCTATTCATCCAGTCACGCAATCAGTAGTAAAACACTAGATGGGTTCACAAAAAACATACCAGACTAGGCTAATGTTAGGTTGGACACCTTGTAGATGCGTGTGTTTTGGTGAATTCAGCTATTTTCCTAGCAAGATGAGTGAACCATGTTGGCATGTAGTGCCACACCAGGTTACTTGTTTGAGAGCAACACAAAACCTTACATGTTGTTAATCTGGGCTTGGAAGTTAGCATGTTATGTGAACCCAGCCATGGACTAACAGCTGCTACCAGTAGAGACGAGAGAAAGATCAGCTGCAAAACTTTGGTTTAGATGACGCAATAGCGAAAAGGGAAGATGTGGTGTTCTACCGTGGAGGATTCATACACTGGGGGGGGGGGGGGGGGGCTCGAGAGTTTCTAAGGCAGCAAACATCTATGGATGGCTTGAGGGGCAAGGTTGCATCCTCAGGAATCAACTGCCTGCAAATTGGTCTGGCACAAATGAAGCCCTCAGTGCCCCAACCGAAGCTCCTCCTTCCAGGCGGTGGCTTTCCAGCCTTGTCACATGCTTTGCCCAGAGCCACTGAAGTGCCCACCTGGCATCTGGCCCCAAGCTTTCAAGCAAGATGTGTGAACCCGAGTGGAGTGTCACCTGCTTGGAGAGCTGGTGGGTGTCAGGAAGAGATCATTTACTCAGGCAATTTTAGCCTCTTCTAGCATCACCTAGTCTCACCCACCATTATTGAGCCTGGCCTATTACTGTCTGTTATTGCAGCTCAGGGGTGACTAAACCTCCTTAGAGGACATTAAGCAGCAAAATAAATAAATAAATAAATAATCCATAATCCAGGATTCCTAAAAAGAAAGAAGGGTCATTCCACTATTGCTCAGAGGAATTTGGAGCCGAAGATCCACTCTCAGGCTCCAAAGTCTGGACCTACGGCTCAGTGCTGTAGGTCCATTATTACAAATGATGCTGGTCTACACAGGCCTGCAAATTGCATGCATTTCAAACAGACATACGCAGGGTCCTGTGAGTGGAACCATGGGCAGTTAAGAATATCCGAGATTCCAAAACACCACAGACAAAGCTCTGAAGAACAGCAGAAGAAGTTCAAAATAGAGGGAAATTAGAGTCACACCAAAAGTACAATGAAGATGAAAAAACAGTAACCTAAGAAGGTGCATTGAGAACAGTGTTGGCACTGGGTTTGTAAGCATTTGGCGCGAAAAGGGCCTCTGTTGCACTTCTGGCAAAGGAAAGAGAATGGAAAGCCAAGGACTATGGAGAGGGGGGAAAGGGGTGGGCCAAGAGCAGAACGGGGGCAACTCCCGCGAGAAAGCCTTGGGGAGACAAGTCAGATGTGGGCTTCAGGGAGGTTGGCCGAAGGGGGTTCCCGGCCTGAAGTTCATAAAAAGACACTCAGAGGCATTAGTTGCCTCGTGGACTTGAGCTGGTAGAAGAGGATACCTCTCCTTGTTGGCTGGGCTGGTGCCCAGAGACGGGCTGAGTTCTGCTGGAAAGAGGGGCCGGGGAGAAAGAGAAGCGGGGGGGGGGGCGTTGTCTGAGCAGCACACGTGGGAACCCTCCCTGGGGATAGGAACCCTCCACCCATCCCCCCAAATCTTGGCAGGGTCTTCCGATCCCGTCCAGGAGCATTTAGCACGTTCTCACTTTAGAAGGACTTTGGGAAACCACCGCTTTGCCGCCTTCTTGCCGGGCCGAAGGGAGGGGGAAGAATAAAGGGGGGGGAGTTAGCGAGTATTTCCCCTCCCACCCCCGACTGCGGAGGGAGGGGCAGGCCTGAGCCCGGGGGAAAACCCCGCGAAGCAGGAGCTGCCGGGCCCTCTCCAGGGTCCTGAAAACGCGAGGATCTCGTCTGCGGTTGCCGACGTTCCTGACCACAACTCGCCATCTCTCGGGGGGGCAGGAAAGCGATGGGGGTGGAAGTCCGGATCACCTGGGCCTGGGCCATTTTGCCCCTGAGCTAAGTGAGCCGCAGCGGGGGAAAAACGGATGAGGTGGACTACTAGTCCCATCATCCCCACCTATCCATATCAGTGGCTTGGAAGCGTGTGCGTCGTCGACACAAAACGCCTGGAGAGTATCAGCAGGGGGACTCTGCAGCGCTGTTCCGAGTGCCGAGCATCGCCCGTCCCTCCTCTTCCAAGGTTTTCTCTAACTTGGTTGACATCTTCCCGGCTGATGTAGGTTCTGCTTTAAGCACTTGTTAGAAGACTTGAAGAATCGGGTTGGGGAGAGATTGTCCTCCGTAGAATCTGCCTAGGTGGGCACTAAGAGTCGACATCGACACGATGGCAGATAATCCTCTTTCTCCTCCCACCCACTAAGGCAGCGTTTCTCCACCTCCGGCACACTAAAA